TTTGGGGGGAGCAGCATGGGAGGGCCATGGCGATTAGGGCCGGGGAGCAGCTAGGGAGGCCCGAAATCTCCCCAGCACCCAATGACAAAAAATGGAACACACCAGCAGTGTGGGGAGACCTGAACGTGGCACACGGCATGAGAACTGTGGAACTGGCAGCCGCATGAGGAGGCGGTACAGGGGGCCCCATGGGCCAGATTTAGGGCCTGGCATCAGCAATGGGAGGCCCGTTAAATCTGCCAGCAACCCTATGACAAAAATGGAACCACACCAGCAGTGTGTGAGGAGACCTGAAAGTTTGGCACATGGCTGGGCAGCTGGTGGTCAGAGTGTGGCGATCTATAGGAGGCCCTGTAAATCTGCCAGCACCCTATGTCAAAAAATTGAACACCACCAGCAGTGTGAGGAGGTTGACCTGAAAGTGGCACATGGCAGAGTGTGGCGATGGAGACAGCACAATGGGAGTGAGGCCGTAACAGGGACCCATGAGACTCTGGACCTTGGCAGCAGCATGAGGAGGCGGTATATAGGGGGCCCATGGCAGATTAGGGGCCTGGCAGCAGCTATGGGAGGCCCGTAATCTGCCAGCACCCTATGTCAAAAAATTGAACACACCAGCAGTGTGATGAGGAGACCTGAAAAGTGGCACATGGCAGAGTGTGGCGATGGAGACAGCAGCAATGGGAGGCCGTACAGGGACCCATGAGACACTCTGGACCTGGCAGCAGCATGAGGAGGCGGTATATAGGGGCCCATGGCAGATTAGGGGCCTGGCAGCAGCTATGGGAGGCCCGTAATCTGCCAGCACCCTATGACAAAAAATGGAACACACCAGCAGTGTGAGGAGACCTGAAAGTGGCACATGGCAGAGTGTGGCAGCGGTGATGGGCGACAGCAGCATGAGGAGGGACCCATGTATAGGGGCCCATGGCAGATATAGGGGCCTGGCAGCAGCTATGCCAGGCAAGCTATGGGAGGCCGTAATCTGCCAGCACCCTATGACAAAAAATTGAACACACCAGCAGTGTGTGAGGAGACCTGAAAGTGGCACATGGCAGAGTGTGGCGATGGAGACAGCAGCAATGGGAGGCCGTACAGGGACCCATGAGAGACTCTGGACCTGGCAGCAGCATGAGGAGGCGGTAAAAGGGGGCCCATGGCAGATTAGGGGCCTGGCAGCAGCTATGGGAGGCCCGTAATCTGCCAGCACCCTATGACAAAAAATGGAACACACCAGCAGTGTGTGAGGAGACCTGAAAGTGGCACATGGCAGAGTGTGGCGATGGAGACAGCAGCAATGGGAGGCCGTACAGGGTACCCCATGAGAGACTCTGGACTTGGCAGCAGCATGAGGAGGCGGTATAGGGGCCCATGGCAGATTAGGGCCCTGGCAGCAGCTATGGGAGGCCCGTAATCTGCCAGCACCCTATGACAAAAAATTGAACACCAGCAGTGTGAGGAGACAGCAGTGTGTGGCTAGGAGACCTGAAAGTGGGCACATGGAATGAGACACTGTGGACCTGGCAGCAGCATGAGGAGGTGGTACAGGGGCCCATGGCAGATTAGGGGCCTGGCAGCAGCTATGGGAGGCCCGTAATCTGCCAGCACCCTATGACAAAAAATGGAAACACACCAGCAGTGTGTGAGGAGACCTGAAAGTGGCACATGGCAGAGTGTGGCGATGGAGACAACCCACCGACTGTTTTTGCTCGCTGCCAGACTGCCACCCTCTTCTCCTGATGCAGATGCGGAAGCAATAGCCTGATGACGACGAGGCTGCCAAGTGCCATCAGCCTCATCGGCAGAACATCAATTAGGGTCCGCTCCGCCTCACCTACTAGCCCCCTCCCCCCCACCAAATAAAGGTCAGGAGACAGACCTGTCTCTAGACCGGCTACCGAGCCACTCTCCCTCGCCACTACTCTCACTTCTTCGCCTGGCTGCTGAAGAGGCGGATGTCCTCCCCCCGTTCCTGACCGCGATCCTCTGTTAGCTCTTCCTCACTGTACTGGATGACACCGGGAGCACTGCCTCTGGCTGCGAATAGTGCTGCCTCGACCCCTTCCTCTGCTGCCACGTCTGCTCACTTCCTAAAACATTGCCTCCTCTGCCACTCCTCTGCATGTTGTCTGACATACTCTTTAATTCAACGATTCTGTGTCCCTGAGTAACAATTCTGTGTCTGTCCCTGAGTAACAATTCTGTGTCCCTGAGTAACGTTTCTGTGGCCCTAAGTAACAGTTTCTGTGGCCCTCAGTAACAATTCTGTGTCCCTGAGTAACAATTAAAGTGTGTCCCTGAGTAACAATTCTGTGTCCCTCAGTAACAATTCTGTGTCTCCCTCTCAGTAACAATTCTGTGTCCCTGAGTAACAATTCTGTGTCTGTCCCTGAGTAACAATTCTGTGTCTGTCCCTCAGTAACAATTCTTGTCCCCTCAGTAACAATTCTGTGTCCCTGAGTAACGTTTCTGTGTCCCTAAGTAACAATTCTGTGTCCCTCAGTAACAATTCTGTGTCCCTCAGTAACAATTCTGTGTCCCTCAGTAACAATTCTGTGTCCCCTCAGTAACAATTCTCGTGTCACTGTCCCTGAGTAACAAATTCTGTGTCCCTGTCCCTAGTAACAATTCTGTGTCCCTCTGAGTAACGTTTCTGTGGCCCTAGTAACAGTTTCTGTGGCCCTCAGTAACAATTCTGTGTCCCTCAGTAACAAATTCTGTGTCTGTCCCTGAGTAACAATTCTGTGTCCCTCAGTAAACAATTCTGTGTCCCCTCAGTAACAATTCTGTGTCCCTGAGTAACAATTCTGTGTCCCTCAGTAACAATTCTGTGTCCCTCAGTAACAATTCTGTGTCCCTGAGTAACAATTCTGTGTGTCCCTGAGTAACAATTCTGTGTCTGTCCCTGAGTAACAATTCTGTGTCCCTAAGTAACAATTCTGTGTCCCTAAGTAACAATTCTGTGTCCCTAAGTATACATTTCTGTGGCCCTAAGAAACGAATTCTGTGGCCCTAAGTAACGTTTCTGTGGCCCTAAAGTAACAATTCTGTGGCCCTCAGTAACAATTCTGTATCCCTCAGTAACAATTCTGTGTCTGTCCCTGAGTAACAATTCTGTGTCCCTAAGTAACGTTTCTGTGGCCCTAAAGTAACGGTTCTGTGGCCCTCAGTAACAATTCTGTGTCCCTGCAGTAACAATTCTGTGTCTGTCCCTAAGTAACAATTCTGTGGCCCTAAGTAACGTTTCTGTGGCCCTAAGTAACGTTTCTGTGTCCCTCATAACAATTCTGTGGTCCCTCAGTAACAAATTCTGTCTGTCCCTAAGTAACAATTCTGTGTCAGTAACAATTCTGTGTCCCTCAGTAACAATTCTGTGTCCCTGAGTAACAATTCTGTGTCCCTCAGTAACAATTCTGTGTCCCTCAGTAAACAATTCTGTGTCCCTGAGTAACAATTCTGTGTCCCCTGAGTAACAATTCTGTGTCCCTCAGTAACAATTCTGTGTCCCTAAGTAACAATTTCTGTGGCCCTAAGTAACGTTTCTGTGGCCCTAAGTAACAATTCTGTGTCCCTCAGTAACAATTCTGTGGCCCTCAGTAACGTTCTGTGGCCCTCTGAAGTAACAATTCTGTGGCCCTGTAACGTTTCTGTGTCCCTCAGTAACAATTCTGTGGCCCTCAGTAACAATTCTGTGTCCCTGAGTAACAATTCTGTGGCCCTAAGTAACGTTTCTGTGGCCCTAAATAACGTTTCTGTGGCCCCTCAGTAACACATTCTGTGTCCCTCAGTAACAATTCTGTGTCTGTCCCTAAGTAACAATTCTGTGGCCCTAAGTAAAGTTTCTCTGTGGCCCTAAGTAACGTTTCTGTGTCCCTCAGAGTAACAAATTCTGTGTCCCTCAGTAACGATTCTGTGGCCCTAAGTAACGTTTCTGTGGCCCTAAGTAACACGTTTCTGTGGCCCTAAGTAACGATTCTGTGGCCCTAAGTAACATTTCTGTGGCCCTAAGTACAATTCTGTGGCCCTCAGTAACAAATCTGTGTCCCTAGTAACAATTCTGTGTCTGTCCCTAAGTAACAATTCTGTGGCCCTAAGTAACGTTTCTGTTGCCCTAAGTAACGTTTCTGTGGCCCTCAGTAACAATTCTGTTTCCCTCAGTAACAATTCTGTGTCTGTCCCTAAGTAACAATTCTGTGGCCCTAAGTAACGTTTCTGTGGCCCTAAGTAACGTTTCTGTGGCCCTAAGTAACGATTCTGTGGCCCTCAGTAACAATTCTGTATCCCTCAGTAACAATTCTGTGTCTGTCCCTAATAACAATTCTGTGTCCCTAAGTAACGTTTCTGTGGCCCTAACTAACGATTCTGTGGCCCTAAGTAACATTCTGTGGCCCTAATAACGTTTCTGTGGCCCTCAGTAACAAATCTGTGTCCCTCAGTAACAATTCTGTGTCCCCTAAGTAACGTTTTTCTGTGGCCCTAAGTAACAGTTTCTGTGGCCCTAAGTAACGATTCTGTGGCCCTAAGTAACGTTTCTGTGTCCCTCAGTAACAAATCTGTGTCCCTCAGTAACAATTCTGTGTCTGTCCCTAAGTAACAATTCTGTGGCCCTAAGTAACGTTTCTGTGGCCCTAAGTAACGGTTCTGTGGCCCTCAGTAACAATTCTGTGTCCCTCAATAACAATTCTGTGTCTGTCCCTGAGTAACAATTCTGTGGCCCTAAGTAACGTTTCTGTGGCCCTAAGTAACGATTCTGTGGCCCTCAGTAACAATTCTGTATCCCTCAGTAACAATTCTGTGTCTGTCCCTGAGTAACAATTCTGTGTCCCTAAGTAACGTTTCTGTGGCCCTAAACTAACGATTCTGTGGCCCTAAGTAACGTTTCTGTGGCCCTAAGTAACGTTTTGTGGCCCTCAGTAACAAATCTGTGTCCCTCAGTAACAATTCTGTGTCTGTCCTGTCCCTAAGTAACAATTCTGTGTGGCCCTAAGTAACGTTTCTGTGGCCCTAAGTAACGGTTCTGTGGCCCTCAGTAACAAATTCTGTGTCCCTCAATAACAATTCTGTGTCTGCCCTAAAGTAACAATTCTGTGGCCCTAAGTAACGTTTCTGTGGCCCTAAGTAACGATTCTGTGGCCCTCAGTAACAAATCTGTGTCCCTCAGTAACAATTCTGTGTCTGTCCCTAAGTAACAATTCTGATGGCCCAAGTAACGTTTCTGTAACCTAAGTCATTCTGTGGCCCTCAGTAACAAATCTGTGTCCCTCAGTAACAATTCTGTGTCAATTCCCTCCCTAAGTAACAATTCTGTGGCCCTAAGTAACGTTTCTGTGGCCCTAAGTAACGATTCTGTGGCCCTCAGTAACAATTCTGTATCCCTCAGTAACAATTCTGTCTTTCCCTGAGTAACAATTCTGTGGCCCTAATTCTGTGTCCCTAAGTAACGTTTCTGTGGGCCCTAACTAACGATTCTGTGGCCTCTAAGTAACGTTTCTGTGGCCTAAGTAACGATTCTGTGGCCCTAACTAACGTTTCTGTGGTCCCTAAGTAACGTTTCTGTGGCCCTAAGTAACGTTTCTGTGGCCCTAAGTAACGATTCTGTGGCCCTAACTAATGTTTCTGTGTCCCTAAGTAACGTTTTTCTCTGTCCCTAACTCTCTCCCTGAATACAGCCAGGTCTGCCTCTGTTGAATGACTGGAGGCAAAATGGAGAATTCTAAAATGGCCCGCCATTTATAGCTCGACCATTACACTGTGCTGGCTGGCTGGCTAGCTGATTGGGCTAATGTGATCACATGTCATGAATGAATGCATTATGGGTCAGCGCGCCTTGTCTGCGCGCCTTCCCAGACATCCCCGCTCCTCCGCCCGCACATGTCGCCGCCATTTTAGGAAAAATTTCGATTCGCGCATCCGAAGTCTGCTTATTTTCGGATTCTACCGAAAATCGAAATTTTCCTAATATTCGAAACGAATTCCACTTCGCCTACTTCGATTTCGCTCATCTCTAGTTGCTAGTCCTAGTCCTAGTCTTAGTTCTTAGATATACTGGCCATTCCCTGTTACCACCAGTAGAAAAGGCTGCTTATGGGAAGATTAGTGAGAAGTGTGTCCCTCCTATTATTGCTATTAGAGATG